AGCACGAAAGAAAGAAAGAATGGAATTTTCCTAAAGTCTTGTAGCCTCTCAAAGAAAAGTAAAGGCGTCCCCCTACCGTTCCTCAAGACTCTACTAGACTCGTTCTTGTATGATGAGACCAACGAACCTAATGCTCTGATACCAAGTTTGTCACGACCCAAAATGAGCCGTGAGTGGCACCCACACTTATCCTCCTATGTGAGCGAACCAACCAATATAACCCAAACATTTCAGCCATAATAAACAGAATAAAAATGCGGAAAACTTAAAACCCATTAACGAAATCAATTAAATAACTTCTAAAGTTTATCAATCACTATCCCCAAAACCTGGAAGTCATCATCATGCTAATTCATCACAATTACATAATCATATCATGCAAGCACACAATTAAGCATATAGAAGACTTTACAAAATTTCTCAATACATATCATTCGCTATTAAGAGTTTACTACGAATAACATGAACCATAACCTACCTCCACCGAAGAATTGTGATCAAACAATCTACTTCCCCAAGGCTGCGTTCTTCTCTTTCTCTCGCTCGTTCTCTCTTCCTCTTCTGTTATTTCTATTTTTCCTATTCAAACCCTTTTTCTTTTACCCTAATTACCATATAATTAAGTATAAAAGATGCTAAAGTAACCCATTACTTATTCCAAGGTTATCTCCTTTAACCCCCAAGTAATTGAATTATTAACATTAAACCCCTAACTTTATAATTATAAGCAGGAATAGTCCAAAACGCCCCTTAAAATATTTAACAGAAATCTGACCCAGTCAGGGTTACGCAACCTGTGACGGCCCGTCGTGCCTGCGACGGTCCGTCCTACTGCTTCCGTCACAAAGTTCAGAGACTGAATTTCACTAAAGGGCGTGTGACGGTCCGTCGTGCCCACGACGGTCTGTCCTGCCATGTCGTCGCGAAGTTCAGAGAGTTGTTCTCAGTACCCAATTTTTCAGAATTCTAAGTGTTTTGAAACGAGACACCCTCGACGGTCCGTCATGCCCATGACGGTCCGTCGTGGGATCCGTCAACCCAGACAGTTATTACCAGAATTTAACTTTACTGCTCAAAACGACTAATAGGTCGTTACATAATTATAGGCAGATTTATCACATATTCTGACAAAAAATTATTGGTTTTTAATGACAAAAGGGTGACATTTTTGGATGAAATAATAAAAATTAATTGATTATTCACAAAAGTTAAGTTACTACTCATTTATTGATATTATTGTTATTATTATTATTTAATTAACACTTATATATTAAATACAATTATACAATAGATACTTGTTCTTAGAGACGGATTTAAGACTTTACAAGGGTATCCAATAAAATAAGATAGAAAATTTTATTTTTAAGCTAAACAAGATAAAAATTTTATTTAATTTAAGCTAAATAAGATAAATTTTTTATTTTAAAAATAAATAACATAATTATGGAAGTGCACATCTTTCCTCTCTCGCTCGTTTCTCTCCTCCTCCAAATCTGGCTCGCCAAATATGCAAATACATACATATATATATATATATATATATATATATATATATATATATATATATATATATATATATATATATATATATATATATATATATATATCATTTACATATATGCAATTATTTGAAATATATGTGCATATGTATATCGGTTACATATATGCAATTATTTGAAATATATATACATATACAATTCGACAGATATACATATATAATTCACCTCTCTCTACTCTCTGCACTCTCTCTCTTGCCTCTCTCCTCCCTCTAGCTAACATGTAACTACGAATAGTAATAGCAAACTATGGTTATGGAGCATAATTAAATTATTTTTGAGTGACTATATGCGAATTTCCCAGAAATTATGCAATGAATATTACTTTAAAAATGACAAACGACAAGCGATAAAAACTAATCATAACATAACTAATTTCAACTTACTTATTTCAACATACATAACTTATTTTAACGTAACTTATTTTCGAACTAAATGATCGCTAAAATTTAAAAGTCTCTAAGTTAAAAAATATTCCACTTTTAACTTTTAACTTATTTCTGTATCTTTTGGGGCTTAAAATAAAGAAGCGGCATTTTTTTTTTGGAAAAAATTTAGCTAACTGGTCAAAAAAATTAACTTATTTAGTGATAATGTCCATACTTTAATAAATATAGTAAACATGTCAAAAATGTCATTATTTTAAAACTAAATAATTATTAGTATATTATTAATATTTTCTCTCTTTTTATTTACACCATTTTTTTCTCTCTCATAAATTATATATATTCCTATATTTAAGTAATTAGATATACACTAATTATATTTTAAAATTTCTCTCTCTTATATTAAGATTATTATTAATTTATATCTATATATTTAGAAAAATTTAGCTAACTGGTCAAAAAAATCAACTTATTTAGTGATAATGTTCATACTTTAATAATATTAGTAAACATGTCAAAAATGTCATTATTTTAAAACTAAATAATTATTATTATATTATTAATATTTTCTCTCTCTTTATTTACACCATTTTTTCTCTCTCATAAATTATATATATTCCTATATTTAAGTAATTAGATATATACTAATTATATTTTAAAATTTCTCTCTCTTATATTAAGATTATTATTAATTTATATCTATATATTTATTACTAATCAATTCCACAACTTCCAAGATTCATTTTCACTTTTATTAATAAAATATTTTCACTATCTTTATAACATTTTTTCAAAATTAATTATGCATTGATTCTCGAATTTTCCTTTTATATTTATTAATATTAAACTTATCACATTCCTAGATTTTGTTGGGATTGTCACGTTATCTCTCTTACACTCTCTTTCCAGAATTTTAATTGTGTTGTCACGTTATATCTTAACCTTTTTTAATAGATAATTCAACAACTTTCAATGCATTATTTTCACTTTTATTAATAAAATATTTTCTCTCTCTAAAACCCCTTTTCCAAAATTAATTCTTCAGAATATCTTTTTTAATTTTCAACTCTTAATATTCCATGATTTTCATTTCAATTGCAGGTTATCTCTTTAACATTCTTCAACAGACAGAACATCTTCAAAATCAATTTATTCATATATCATCAAATTCTCAGATTTACGCTTCAATTTCTTCAAACCTGAATTTTCCTATTTAACATCATTATCAAGTAATTTCATTTGAAGGTTTGATTTGGAGATTCACATTGAGTTGGTTATTATGTTCTTCATATTACTTTTTGATTACTTACTTATTTTTTTTATTATTTTTTTTATTTTGTTGTTGTTCTTAAATTATTTTTTAGGGTTTCATAATACCAAATTCACTCTTCAATGGATGAATTCAAAAGAGTTACTAGAGGTATTGTAAAAAAACACAGTTCTTCCGAGTTACATAGTTTAATTTTTTTCACTCAAGAAATAAATAACAATGTAGGGTCAGCTTCTAAGTCTAAGGAGGTTATACGAGGTGGAAAAATGGTTGAACCTGTCGAGGTGCAAAATCCCACAGAAATTCATGAAGTTGAAGAAGAACAATTTTTTGGAGAAGAGGTAATTTTTTTTTGCATGTGTTGTGTATTGCATGCTTCGTTTAATTTGTTTAGTAATTTTTAAGATTGAAAAAAATACATGTTACAATTTTAAGGAAGCATAAACATACCGTCATACGCAGTGAAGGTTCTTCATTTTCAGCGAGCATTTCTTGTGCTTTACCACAAAGTGTCGTGAATGTATTAGAAGCAGATGTATGGTTTTTGAAATTCCATCGACCAAACATTTGTCTAATTTCCTCAAGAAAATCATGTATAGGTAATTCTCTTGCTTCCACAAGGCATGCATTTATACATTCAGCTATGTTTAATGTCATCACAGTGCCTCGATCAACTGGTGCATACACTCTTGCCCATTTGTCATAACCAGCCAATTCCAAATAATTCTTCACCCTAATATGAACATGTTCTACTTTTTTCATCAGTTCATTAAATTCATAAAGTTTGTATGCCTTTGTCATTACATAAAACACCTCTGAAAGACTGTCATGTGACTTTTTGTAAAGTGTCTTCACGTTCTTCCAAAGATGAAACGTGCAAGCATAATGTGGTATATTGTATATCCTCGAAACTGCTTTTATAATACTCTTGTTTCTGTCGAATACAACACACATTTTATCCTTTAAACCATGAGCTTCTCTAAACTGTTCAAAAAAACAAGCCAAGATGCATCATTTTTCGTCAATAACACTGCATGCTAGGGGCAATATATTTTCTGAACATATACAATGCAAACATTAGGATACATATCGTCAAATACAACAGATACATGTTTAATAAATATAATATCGTGCGTAATTCTTTATAAAAATATAAATATTTAATAGTTACCTGCTCCATCCAATGTGCTTGCAGACACAAATGTGCCATTATAAGTCCCCCTGAGATGGGTGCCGTCTACTACAACTATTGGCTTACAACTTTCAAAACCTTTTATGAAAGGAAACAAAGCTATAAAGACATATAGAAATTCATTTTCTTCCGTCTTCTTTAATCTTATATGTGATCCAGGATAAGTGGTGTCCAATATGTATAAATAACTGGGTAATTTACTATATGAATCAGATGGTGTCCCCCTTAATGTATTTATTGCCTTTTCCCTAGCATTCCATTCCACAAAGTAAGATATGTCTACACCAAGTTCGAGTCTAACATCAACTTGTATGTCTTTCGGTGTCAACTTTCTTTTATGATCAACTAGCTTGGGCTTTATTATACCTCCAACAAGACTGCTTGTTGCTTGTCTCTGACTATATGCCTTATCTTTTAATGAACATGTATGCTCATCTACAAACTTTCTAATTCTAAACATTCCCGATTTATTGATGTTGGAAGCCTTCATTATCCATTCACAATTTTCAAATACACAAACAAGTGTATAACTGCTCGAATTACAAAAGAAAATAAACAAAATAAATTAAGACATTATATTATTGGAATAATTAATATAACAACAAAAGATAAAATATATTTAAATACAAAATACCTTACTAAACTTGATCTTTTTGTCTTCCACTGAAATCTATTATCAATGACATATTTCATCATCACAGCTTTCAAAGTACGTTTATTCTTATAAACTTGATCCTCAATGACTTCTTTATGATTCATATTGCAGATAATAGAATTACTTAACTCATCACTGATTAATGGTGCACTAATAACAATTGCTTGGTTATTAGTAGTACTTCTTCCGTTTATCATACACATGCAAATATCTTATTCATAATATGATTTCTACAATTTATATCACGATCATTCACAAATACAGTTACACAAATGGGGTACTTTGCGAATTCTCGAACTTCTTTCTTCAATGAGACATATACCCTCATTCCCATATCGTTGTGGATCTCCAAAGGTGCAATTCTATTTTATACTTAAGTTTCATTTTGTTATACCTCAAATCTATCCCAATCTGATTAGCGACTTCATCAACTAAATCTTTATACGACGCATACTCTTTAATCATAATTGCCTCAGCTGTGTAATCAATATAGCAATTATCTTCAGTCCAATCTCCAGAATGCTTTATTATAAAAGCAATGCTCCCTATATATGCTTTATAGTAAAAAAAAAAAAGTCAATACTAAATACCAAAATAGTGACATTATCATTAACTTGTATAAAGAATACAAAATAATAAAGTTACAATCGTAATTCAAATAAAAGATTTGAACATTATTATTTGTCTAAACAATTGATGCATCAAATAAGTATTCTGTTGGATATACGATTTCGCATACTAAAGTCAAAAAAACGACTTCAAATCAGAATCAAATACAAAATATATAACGATTAATTAACTAAAACATACCTCAATTTCGACTTTTTGTTTTTGTTTATTTTCCAAAAATCGTTTACCCAGTTTATTTGACAAAACAATAAAATCGCAATAAGTTTTTTTCGGATGAACATCATGAATAATGGCCAGATATATCATCAAGATTTGAAAAAATTGTAACTGCTGTAGATAGTTTTAAGCATCTGTTACTTTTTATAATTTTTCTCTCCCCTAAATAGCTCTAGTTTGTTCTATAAATTAGGTATTCTTTTTAATTAAACAAAATAATTAAAATATAATTAAAATACATAATAATGTAACATTTTGACATTATCACTAAATATTGAAAGTGTTGACACTATACCCTATTAAATACTAAAATAATAACATTTTAAAAAAATTCCCTTTTTTTGTCTTTTTCAAACACTTTCAAAAATAAAAAGAGTTTAAAAGCCTAAAATTATTTAAATTTAATCAACCTAAAACACTTTGTACTTTAATTTAAAGGGTTCAAAATTCAGAAATTATATTTTTATAATTTTAAACCCCTTAGTAAAAATGTTAAATCTTTCACTATATCATACACTATCAAAGATTGATGTAAATTGATATGTATTCTAGATTTTGAATTTAATGAGGCATGAATATGAAGTCATCTTAATTTAATAGGGAGCATTGTACAATTATATTTGAAATACTAACTTTTATGATATAAAAATATTTGAAGTGCAGGCATAAAAGAGAAAACGATAACAACGTGAAAATTGAAAAGTCAATAATTAAGAAGTTTTCGACTTTGGCTGATAGTCATTTTCGACTTGTGTTCTACACAAATTTCAAAAGGAATGAGATCGTTGTTGTTTTTATTTTTGTGTTTTCAAACTCACTTTTAAGATTGGACCAATTTAAATTTGTATCGAAAAATTTTACTTTAAAAATCCTATTAAATTAAATGAGTTCATAATCATGCCTCATCAAATCAACAATCTCTTATACACACTAATTTACATCGATCTTTAATACTGCATGCATGATATATATGTATCATGTTCTCTCTCTAAATATATTTTTGTGGAGAAAATGTCCTTTTCTTTAACAAACTTATTTATCTTTTCGAATACAATTTTTTTTAATAAAATATTTATTTTAAAAAACCTTCTTCTTTTTATTTTTTGTTTTAAAATTTCTTTAACTAATATAAAAATAATTTTTTTCTTCTTAAGTCCTTTTATCAATTAAAATAGAGTATTTTTATTAATTTTCCTTTTAATATTAGAATAGCTTATCCTTTTCCCGTATAAACCATCGAATCATTTCTGCATGAGGAAAATTTTAAGTGGTAAAGAAATTTAAAAACAATTACTTCTAAATTATTTTTTTACTAAATTCCCATCACCATGGTTGTGCATGGGCAACAAGCTAACAGGCTGGAGTACTCAACTCACTTGTATTTAGCCCAACTTGATTTCAGTTTGACTTTAACTTGACTCGATTCAATTCAACCCAATTGGTTCGAGTTTTATCATATCATAATTTTTTCTAAATTAAAATTTATTGTTAAACATATTTAAGTTTGTAATTGTAGCAACGCATGTAATAATTATAAGAAATTTATAATTTGTATTTAAAATCTGTAATTGTTTTTTTTATTACACATCATGATTATGTAAGATCACTTTATAGGTGGTACAGTATGTAACTAAAAAGGTTAATGAAACATAATACTATTAGACGAACTTATTTGAATTTTAGTATTTTACTTTTTTGACCTGTAAATTCAATTCTATGTTCAAGTTTAATTTCAACTAATAGTAATGTATATAATTCAATCACACTTAAATGTTTTTATCAATTTAAAATAATAATGTCTATACATTTTTCTTAATCAACCTATTTATTTTCTAATAGTGTAGCACTACGTGCCACTAAACATTAAAGAGTCAACTCAAACTCAACTCGATATGGTATTAATATAAGAAATTTGATTGAGCTCGACTCGATTGGAGTCAGCTGGAGAGCTAGATTGTCCAGGGGTGAAGAATCTTGGACGGGAGACAACTCTCCTATTTCTTTTTCAAGAAACATCAACTAGGAAATAAACTGCCCCCACTTGATTTGGGAATTCATTGAATCCCACCTGCTTATTCCCATCTATTTCTCCCCCTCTCTCCTCCAACAAATATAACATAAGCATAGTGTGTATATATATATAATAATGACAGATCTAGTACATAATATAATTATCATAAATCTCAAACCAAATATAGGAAATACTCTAAAACTGCTTCTTTTCTTTCCTTCAACACACTCATCAATTCACCTCTCGAATCAAATAAAATAAATCATTATCAAGAGAAAGTACTGATCAAGAGAAGTCGTTCCTCGTAATTATGGATGTTAAAGAATTGGCAAACTCCAATGGAACTACTACTACTACTACTTTTGAGTATGGAAGATTATTCTCATCACAAGGGAAATATGCTAAAAGGAATGTATCATCTACCATGAGTTATTTCAGTTTAGAGTCAATGTTGTTTCTTATTTGTCTTACTGCATTATTGTTACTTCTTCCATTGATACTTCCACCATTGCCGCCGCCACCACCATTCATGTTGTTGTTGATCCCTATTTTCATTTTCATACTTCTTGTCATATTGGCTTTCATGCCTTCCAATAATGTCATATAATCAAGTGACTTGAGTATACATATTTGTAAGAAAAATTTTTGATGACAGTTTATTACATATATATAATACAGTTCTTTCATTTTACATAAAGAGCAATTATATCCTTGTTTATTGTTACTCTCTCATTTAATTTCTTTATCACTACTATTGACATAAGTACCTGCAATCAACTCACAAAATGAGCAATGTGTTGTCTTGGGTTGTCCTTCCCATCAAATTGAAACTTCCAATAGATGATCTCGGTTTGTCCAAATAAAATCCACCGATCTCTCCCTCCTATGTCGTAAATGTAAGTAATATGTGAAGCTCCTGAGTAAGAATAGCTTACTACATGGATTTATGAAGTTTGAGGAATTGGAATTGTAAGGTATCTTAAATAGGGGCTTTTGATGATTCTAATCGTGTCTACTCTGTCAACGTGGTATTCAAGCCACAGAAAAACTTCACCCCATCTGATATTTAAACAGTTTAATCAGTACATGACATGTATCATTGCATACATTTTAGGTTAGCAGCATGTAATCTAAAGAGTACTGCCAATTTTCAGCACAAGGAAGATAGTTTTTCCATTTTCCGTACTTATAATTTTTGAATCCTCAAGTATAAAAGAGGTATATTTATACACTTAAGTAGTGCAAGAAAAGCTGCAACTATTAAACTGTAATGCATATCACATCATCAATTTGTATGTAAACTATGAAACATACTCTACATCATCTTTACTTTTCCTACCACAAAAGAAAGTCAGCTAAGCATTTCAATATCTGGCACTTTAATTCACTGCAAAAATTTCCCAAAGAAAATGTCAAGGAAACCTGGTCCATAGTTGCATCGCAGGTATATTTTTCTCTGCAAAGATCTCCCAACTTAAAACCTGGAAAAACAAATATTTGTAAAAATTTTGCTCTCACATATTAGTGTATTGGATGTGAAGTTTGTGGCTTACGTGAACATCTGCGGTCTGTTGCGGGAGAGTTGAGGTCTCTTAATTGGTGATAGGATGAGATTCCTAAGGGTCATTGAGGGATTGCTTGCGCCAGTTGCAACGCCAAGCATAGGATGTGCACCTGCTCTTCTGTTTCCAGCATCCACTGGTACTGCTGACTGTCTAACAGGGGAGCCATTCGAGACATCAAAAGGGCCAGAGTTGGAACCATTCTGTCGTGTTGGAGGCCATATGTCTTCTCTTGGTCCTGGAGTTTCAGGAGTGAGAACCGACCAATCTGCGGCAAATGAGTCGACTAATGTTTTGCTAAAAGGTTAATGTAGCTTTGAGAGCGAAATACCCAAAATTCAAAGAATTTGGACAATGAATATTCATGCATTAAGATGAAAAAATCATGTTTTCCAAACTACACCAGCCTCACATGTGCCATGTGATTATTCTAAATACAAAATGAGTTACCTTTTCTCATGGTATCTCTGTTGTCCATCATATTAGCAGGATTTGAAAACAAATCAGGCTCTGCTCTTGAAAAGAAATTACTTGGCTGAATGGCTGTGCGCTTTACTGAATCATATTCATTTCTCAACTGATCATACATTTCATCAAGTTTTCTTTTTTGCCTGACAGTAGAAACCTATGTTATTTCTGAGAGCACGTACCATAGAAGCGGATTTCAGTAGTTAGTCAAAGCACACTTTGCAACCTCCCCAGTTAATAGATTATAGTGGATAATTAGAGCACTTTGCAGTTACACTGTATTTCTTAATTTTTGACTTGGATAAACAGAAACTGCTTTAAGTAAGAAGAACCTGGATTTCTCGGCAAATTTTTCTTGGAGTTCCTGCTTGTCTTTAGATAAGGTCTCAATCTCTTGTTCCAACATTTGGCACTTTTTAGCCACCTTCTGGTATGCAGTATGCACTTGCTCCAACTTTTGAGAGAATTTTTCCTGCATCATCTCACATTTCTGACGGCATTGAGCAACTACCTTGTTCATCTTGAACTGCATCTCCAATTCCTTTTGCCCAATGTGGAACATCACACTTCGGTAGGCACTCTTCATTACTGGATGTGATTAAGGAGAAAGTAGTGAAGCTAACGTAATACCATTTCTGTAAAGATATTGTTACCCTACATCAACTTTGGAAAGGAGTATGTTAATATAATTAAGCCAACTTCACTATGTTTTAAAAGTAAAAACTGAATACTACAGATGTGGCAACACAGGACATGCGATGAAGGATACATATCTGGGGTGTAATTCCAGCCATGACCATCTGCATGAGGGTGTGGACAAATTTTAACTAGGATGCTGATTAAGAAATAAGTCAGAAACAAATATGATTTGGCCACAATAAATGTAGAAAGTGATAAGGGAGCAACCCTTTCACAAATGTTTGCTTACATTTATCCATTCATCACTTGGATTGACGTCCACAGGTTTCATGAGACTGAAACAAAAAATATCAGAGCCTTGATTATATAACAACCTCAACAAGATGCTACAAATTACTTTGAGAACTTAGTGGAAGTGCGAATTAGGATATACCTTTTGCAAAATTTCATTTTTAGGTGAATTGAACAGCACTAGATGAAGTGATACTAGATAGCACTAACCTTTTAGAGAGAACTTGATCACAAATAGGA